CAATATTAAGTTGCATGTTGCTCGGTAAAAGGTTTGTAGGACCTATTTTAGATAGCATTTGTAGATTATTAAAAAAACCACAGTGTTAGTCACTCTGTTGTGTTCGACTCTCTGTAACCTCATGGACTCTAGCCCACCGGCTTCTCTGTCCATGAAATTCTCCAGGGACTTCTCCTGGTGGTCCAGTGCTTAAACCTCTGTTTACACTGCAGGGGGTGTAGGTTCCATCCCTGTTTGGGGAATGAAGATCCTGCATGTCACACTGTGCAGCCAAAAAATAACAAAAATTATTTACAGAAAAAGTTCAGAGAGGCTTACCATGTGTAATAGTAAATCTATTTTTTAAACTAATACCAAATACATGTATGGCAGGTTTTAGACGTTCCTTTCATAAAGTTTTCTTACAGTTTGACACCTTTAAATAGGATACATTATGAAAATCTGTCAAGTATTTGAAGACATTGATATTCTTTTTATGACAGATATGGGCTTTTGTGTCAACTGAAAATTTCTACATGTGTTGAATTGCTGTGTCAAGAAATGTGTTAGGTGATCAGGATACATCAGAACAATGATCTTTTTGCCCTCTTGAGGAGCTTACATTGTCTAGGAATGGGAACAAAAATAAGCAGTAGGCATTATAAATTATTCATTATGTTAGGAGGTAATACTGATACATGCTATGAGGAAAATTAAGGAAAATTCGTGGTTACAGTTTTAGAGTGATTATGAAAGTCTTCATTGAAATGACATTTGAGCAAAGATGAAGAGAGTGATTGGGATGACTTAGAGATTATAATATAGATGATAAGACAGCAAGGGTAGAATCAGGGAGGCAAGTTAGAAGGCCATGGTGGTAATGAAGCAGAGAGAGATGAACAGAATATAGATGTAAATTGAAGGCATAACTGATGGGATTTCTTGACTCAACTTGTGGTTTGAGTACTGGAAAGCGAGTCAAAGTTTCATGCAAGGCAGGCATGCTTCTAAACACTTCCCGTCCTGGGGTAAGAGTGCAATGGAGACACCAATGATTTAAGATACTTAAAGTTTTGTTCATTGAAAATATGTCCCATGCTACCGTTTTGCCAAATACACCTTCATAAGTATATGTAGAAGGCCAGGTTTGAATTTCAGATTGTTAAAAAGTCCTGTGCCAGAACCTTCCTTACAAGCAACCTGGTCCTCTGCCTGTGTCCCACCTTCCTTCTCCTCCCATCCCTGCCTCTGATTTGTATGGCAGGGGGGCCTCATGCACATTTGTGTGAACAACTTAGCCTGCATGCTCGAAATCTGTCCACTTCCCTCACACACCAGTGCACACAACAGTGATAGAAATCGCCGAGGTCATTTCGACAGGATGTTTGTAATCCTGAGTACCTGGAGCGTAGTCTAGTGCGAATATGAGTTCCAGATAGATGTGTAGTATTGGTTCTTCAAAGCTCAGGCCTTCTCAGTTTGTTTTAAGGGCAGCACCACTCCATGGGTTTTGGCTTGAGCAGCTATACAGATAGAATTGCTGTGTACTGAGAAGGGATTGTAGGTAGGTGGAACAGGTCAGGGGGAGGAGATATGCACATATTTGAGGTCTCGTTAGACACCCAATAGTAGAGGGAAAAAGGAAAAATTCAATTTACAGTAACCGTGGCCTGGAATATATAAAAACTGAAGGGGATTTTTCACTGCAGGTATACTAACCAGCGAAATCTCTTTAAAAAACACGAACTTTAAATGACTCCAGACCCTTACTGAACTGATTCTGTTTTGAATCAGTTTTATGATTATGATTTGAATCAGAATTATGATTAATATACAAGCCTATGGACAATCAAGCCAATTGTATATAAGCCTATGGACTCCATCCTATCCAGCACACTATCTTATTTTTTTAGCAAAAGCTCTAGGAACTCTGCTTTCTATGACCAATAATCCCCTCAGACTTTTCCCTCTAACTACTCACCAGTAGTCTTCACCAATATGTCTTCCCTTGCCCAGGGTGTTGCCTTTTTTTTTGTTGTTGTTAACTTTGGCAATATTTTTTGTTTTATTCTTTGGTAACAAGCAGTTGGATATAATCTGGGAGTCTTGGGCATACAGATGTTATTGAGAATAAGACTGGATGAGATCAACATGGGAGTGGGTGTAGAACCACGTGCTGAGCTTCTGGGCAGTCATATTAAAAGACTGGGAAGAGGAGGAAGCTAAGGAGACAGATCATGTGACGAGGGAGGGAGAGAGAAAGCTGAGTGATATCCCTGAAGCCAGTGAAGAGCTGTTTTCTAGGGCAGAAGGTGACCAGCTCTGTCAGATGCTGCTGATAGAACACTTGATGCAGTTGAGTGTAATATCCGTTTTGACTTAGCCATTTCAGACTTCTTTACCAGAGCAATGACTTACTTAGCTTTCTAAACTTCAGTAATTTTTAAGTGGCATTTGTAGGTTTTCATTATCCACACCTGAAGTTGTGAGGGAGGGGAAGGGGGACAGTTATTTCCTGTTATTCATTTTCTGTGAAACAAGTTGTCTTTAAAAATGGTAATATGTCCATTTTTATGAGTTGGTGATGACTGGTGAAACTGAGTGAAATTAATGAAGATTTCTGTATTATGTTACTGAGATTTCCAATTATCAGTTGCACTGTGTGGTGGTTGGAAAGCTTCCCAAGTGGCACAGCAGTAAAGAACATGCCTGCCAATGCAAGAGACGCAGGTTGAATCCCCTGCAGGAGGAAACGGTACCCCACTCCAGAATTCTTGCCTGGAGAATCCCATGGACGGAGGAGCCTGGTCCATGGGGTTGCAAAGACTGCAGCCACGACTGAGCACACTCGCACGTGGTTGGGGAAGGCAAACTACTTCCAAATTATTCACTAAGCTATCACATAGCCAACTGGAAATTCTGAGTTTTAAAGTCTCTAGTGCTTTTGAAAATTATGCTATTTGGTTAGACATTTTTAAGTAACTGAGATAGAATGCATTTGCTGCATCCCTGGTGGCTCAGATGGTAAAGCGTCTGTCTGCGATGCAGGAGACCCGGGTTCGATCCCTGGGTTGGGAAGATCCCCTGGAGAAGGAGATGGCAACCCACTCCAGTATTCTTGCCTGGAAAATCCCATGGATGGAGGAGCCTGGTAGGCTACAGTCCACGGGGTCGCAAAGAGTCGGACACAACTGAGCAACTTCTTTTTTTTTTTTTAAAGAAACTGCAGGTTAGATAACACCAAAACATTAAGTTTCTCTTAAGAAAATGGCTTGGGTTGCCAGAATATGTCTTACTTTTAGCCAGTCAATTTTGTATTATATAATTTTTCCATATGAAATGTCTTTCCCCACTACACCTGTCTCAGAGACTCTGAATCACACATTTAAAGGAAGCATCCTTTCTAAAGGAGCTGAAGAATGGCATTCTGTTAAAAAGAGGAACAGCTGGTCATGTGGAAATTCGTTGGAATGCTCACTTGTCCTACAAAGGCAGGGGAAAAACTGAGATATCAGGTGTAGTGTTTGTCATTGTTATACAGAATTGTTTTAATGTAACCTTACTAGAGAGCTTTACATGATTTTAATCGCCTTTCTCCTTCCAAGACTGCTCATCTGTCAACCATGTGAAGGCCCTGAGAACAGCTAAGTGCAGTTCAGTGGGTCTCAAGACTGCTGGAATTGTTTTCTGTGCTGAAACATTGTTCCTTTCATCAAGATTCAGGACCCTCCCGTGATTAAAAGTTATCCTTTGTTCTCGATTACCTTGGGATGAACCTCGAATTTCTTCAGCATGACACAAAGAATTTGACTCTTGCGGGGCTCCCCAAGCTCATCTGTCACTCCTTCCCCCTTGAATTCTTTGCTCCAGCCAGATGACAGACACTACAGATGAACTCAGCTCTCCTTTCTTCCTTCTTGAACACAAGTAGCAGCCTTTCCTCTTACCCTGGCCAACTCTGATTTGTCCACCCCTCATTTCTTTCCTTTGTGTAGTTCTTCACATTTTTCAGGGTGGGTACATAGTTGGGATTCTCTAATCCACTTCCGTAAGAGGTTTGGTTTCGGTTTATGCTCTTTAACCTGCTTTGTTTCCCAGAATTTCTATAGAAATTGCTTAAATGGAGTAGGAGGGAGCTGGGGCAAGCACAGAATGACCTTCCCCGGGTGAAATTAGGAGAGATACGACCTGCTGGGCGTTTGAAGAGACGGGTCCGCGGAGGCCAACCTGCTGTTGGGAGGTTAAAGTGCGGGATCTCAGAACCGGATGTTACCCCAATTCGCAGTTACTTTTGGGAGATACTGCAGGCTGTACGGATGGGTCTAGAGAGAGCCCAAGGGCGTGTGTCATGTAAGGAGTGCCTGCGCTCCAGGCTCGAAAAAAGGAAGGCGAGATGTCATGGAATTTCCAATGGGTCCCCTTTTATCCACTCCAAAAGGGACAGACGGTTGTTCCAACAATCGTGCTGTCTAAGAAGAGCTGGGTAGTGGCCATGAGCGAATGTCGGTGTAAAGACACCGTGTCCTGTCGCCCTCTGTGCACTAAGATGTCTACGTGGGGTCTGGGGGAGGCACGGGTCGCGGGACTCCGCGGCTTGCGAACCTCAGCCCCAGTTCCTCGCTGGCCCAGGCCTGGACCGGGCTCTGCGAGGTTTCGGAGCACAGCGCGAACCCCCAGGGCTAGTTTCGGGGCGCAGAGGGTCCGCCTGGCGTGCCCGGCAGTCTGGCAGCTGCGCCCACTTGGGCAGTCCCATGCCCTCCCGAGGCTGTTTGCGGAGAGCCCCGCCGGGCGGAGAGGCGCGACGGCTGGGGATGGCCTCTCGGCGCCCTCTGCGTGTCGGCATTCTCCGCCCGGCAGTCGGGGCCCCTCGGCCGCGGTCCCGGGCGGAGAAGACGCGTTTCCGGGGCTCGCGTCCCGGCCGCCAGCCTGGGGAAGGAGCGCGGAAGCGAGTGGGCGGCGGGAGGCGGAGCGAGGGCCGCGGGGGGCGTGGACGCGGCCGGCTTTGGAAAGGCCCCAAGTGAATGAGGCGCGCGCCGGCGGCAGAGCGCCTCTCCGAGCTGGGCTTTCCCCCGCAGCGCGGGCGCCAGGAGCCGCCTTTTCCGCTGGGTGTCACTCGGGGGTGGGGGGTATGGCCCATTCAAAAGCGCCGCGAGGGGGCCCGGCCAGTGCCCTTCAGTGAGCGCTCGCAAGAGGACGGCAGAGGCCCGGCGGCTCGCAGCTCCGGGACCTTGTGGCGCATCAGGACGCGGCTGCCCTGCTGCCCGGACCCCGAGCCGCCGCCGCCGCCGCCGCCGCTCTGCTTTCTGCGCGTTAGCCTCCTCTGCGCGCTCCGGCCCGGAGGCCGCGGGAGCCGTTGGGGAGAGGACGGCGCGCGGCTGCTGCTGCTGCCCCCGACCCGGGCGGCTGGAAGTGGAGAGGCCGAGCCGAGCGGCGGCGCCCCCTATGCCGGGAGGATGTTGGAGAGCAGCGGCTGCAAGGCGCTGAAGGAGGGGGTGTTGGAGAAGCGCAGCGACGGGCTGCTGCAGCTCTGGAAGAAAAAGTGCTGCATCCTCACCGAGGAGGGGCTGCTGCTCATCCCGCCCAAACAGCTGCAACACCACCAGCAGCAGCAGCAACAGCCCGGGCAGGGCTCGGTCGAGCCGTCCCAACCCGGAGGCCCCGCCGTGGCCGGCCTCGAGCCGCCGGTCAAGCTCAAGGAATTGCACTTTTCCAACATGAAGACCGTGGACTGCGTGGAGCGCAAGGGCAAGTACATGTACTTCACGGTGGTGATGGCTGAGGGCAAGGAGATCGACTTTCGGTGCCCGCAGGACCAGGGCTGGAACGCCGAGATCACGTTGCAGATGGTGCAGTACAAGAATCGCCAGGCCATCCTGGCGGTCAAGTCCACGCGGCAGAAGCAGCAGCACTTGGTCCAGCAACAGCCTCCGCAGCCGCAGCCGCTTCAGCCCCAAAGCCAAGCCCAGCCGCAGCCTCCGTCCCAAGCCCAGCCGCAGCCCCAGCCCAAGCCGCAGCCGCAGCCGCTTCATCCATACCCGCATTCGCATCCGCACCCGCACCCGCACGCGCACCCACTGCCGCACCCGCACCCACCGCCGCTCTCGCAGGCGCACGGCCACCGGCTCCTCCGCAGCACCTCCAACTCGGCCTGAAGAGGGCAGCACCCGGCCCGGACGCGGTAAGGTCGGCGCGGGTCCGGGGAGCGGGTCCTGGGGGGTGTCTGCTCACGGCTTCGGCTCTTGGGTGGAAAGGGGGAAGTGAACCTAGGTTCCCGGGAGCTGGAGAGAAGAGCAGAGGCCGGCGGGGAGGGCAGGCTGAGGGATGCGCGCCGGACAGGAAGGGGTCCGCAGCGCCGCCCGCCCCGCCGGCCCGCCCGTGTCCGGGGTGCTCGCCGCCGGCCGTCTCCTGGCGCTCTCGGCGCCGCTGGACTGTCCGGGCGCTCGAGGGAGCGACCCCCGTGTTCGTCTGAGCTCCTTTGTACGCGGGACAGGCGCCAAGAGAGCTGGGTCTGGTAGGAGTCCGAGCTTCTCACTTCCGTTCGTGTCATTTCTTTCCAGGTTTTGGGGACTTGAGGAAGCGGGACGAGCACCTTTCTATTGTCTTCACTGGATCGAGAACAAGTCTCCCCGCCGCGCACCAAATCAAGTAGTTTGAACAGAACCCGACTGATAACTCGTGATTCCACTTATTTTCTGCATACTCTTCTTCACAATGCAGGAAAGATTTTGAGTCCAGAAGGCTTTATTTATGAACCTTTGAGAGGATCTTCCAGTATGGTGGACCTTCTAGGAGGGATGATGTACTGTAATTTTATTTTAATGTATTTTGACTCATTATTTATTAGTTTGTTTTTTTTTTTAATGCTTGTTCTGAGACATTTCTGAATGTAGGCCATTTTCCAGAAAAGAAACTTTATTTTCGAAAACTTGTCCTTAGTAAGTTGTAGTCTTGGGAAAGAAGAAAGAAAAAAGGCGGTACAGAGGAACACAAGAATTTATTCATTATTCCTAGGGCATTTTCAGAAGGTCTGACACTTCATTGTTATACCAGGTGGTTGAAATTAAACTCTGTGATATTATGTGGGGTTTTTGTTCTGTTTTTTTTTTTAATTAGTTTTTTTCTCCTTAGATGTGTATTTTGTGTAGAACTTTTAAAGAAGTTAAATGTTCAGAATGGTGTAATTATAAAAATCTAATTGCTTTTCTAAAAGGAAATCAGTAGTAATGATATCTAATTCAAAATATTTAATACATAACACAGTTGATGGCAAGATGACCGTATCCTGAGTATACAGGAGAACTTGGTCTGCTGTAGGAAAAGCCTTGCTTAGATTGTCTTTGTGTGGAGATTTAATAATAAGTTTTCTATGATTTCAGAGTATGAATGCATTAGATGTTTCATTTCAAAAAACCGGTAGTGGGGGTAAAGACTTATTCCAGTTGTTTGAGAGAACATTTGTGCTCTTATCCACAGTAGAAATTACCCTTCTTCAAGAGCTTGGCAGACTTGATGTGAACCGCATTTCCTGGCCTTTCTTCTACTTTGTTCTAGAAGCATATTCTAGAATCTCATAGTTTAAAATACAATTTCTAAATGTTTCAAAGGACTGGGAGTCATAGCTTTTTGGTTTCATTCTGAGAATGTTGACCAGAGACACCAACTGTTTTGCTCTTTATCACTCAGTGAGAAATCCAAGGGTTATATGTTTTATTGTTAGGTTAACTAAACTCAGAAATTGAAAAAGGAAGGACTGGATAAACACTGGATTTGCAGTAAGAAAACAACCTAGTCTTGTTTTAGCAGCAAGTTTCAGGAGTCCGGGGGTTGGGACGGTTGGGGGAAGAGGATGTGCTTTTAAAGGTAGAACAAACCCCCTTCTGTGTGAAATGAAAAGGATGGTCAAAATCCACAAGTGCAGATGCTAGTTCAGTTTAAAAAAGAGCCATAGATGCTACCAAATCCTCTTGGGGCTGAAAATCACTTCCTATCTTTCATGGGTTTACTAACAGCTCTGTTTTCCATTTTCCTTTTCACAGTCTTGATCAGGATTTTTCCAGCTTCTAAATTGGAATGGTCAGCGTTAGGCCACTGCTAAGTTCTATAGTCAGGAAGTGAAAATAGAATTTCATGCTAGAGGCACCTTTATTCTCCCTCCATCTAAAAAGGAGTTTGAAGGTCACATTGCTTCTCAGTGTGATATTTAAATGATGAAAATTTGAGATCCAAAGAAGTGGTGAAAAATAAAATTCAACCAAGGGACAAGCAGAACTTATGTGGGCTTCCACTTCAAGGTGAAGTTGCAGTTGCGAGGGGAGCGGGGGAGAATATATATATATATAATGGGCAGCTCAGAGAGCAGATGTCAAAGAGTTCTTTTTTTTTTTTTTGGAGGCTAATTACTTTACATCATTGCAGTAGTTTTTGTCATACATTGAAATGAATTAACCATGGATTTACATGTATTCCCCATCCCGGTCCCCCCTCCCACCTCCCTCTCCACCCGATCCCTCTGGGTCTTCCCAGTGCACCAGGCCCGAGCACTTGTCTCATGCACCCAACCTGGGCTGGTGATCTGTTTCACCCTAGATAATATACATGTTTCGATGCTGTTCTCTTGAAACATCCCACCCTCGCCTTCTCCCAGAGTCCACAAGTCTGTTCTATACATCTGAGTCTCTTTTTCTGTTTTGCATATAGGGTTATCGTTACCATCTTTCTAAATTCCATTCAAAGAGTTCTTAAGTAAAGTTTGGTTTGATTTCTTTGAAACTACTGCTGTGCTTTTTAATAATACCCCATTGTACTCTCATTTTAATAAATGCAGATCATATGACCCCATTAAACCACAGCTTTTTTCTCAGATGAAAGGATTTTTTTTTTCAAATTCTTGTGCTATAAAAAAATTTAAATCTATAGCAAATACTTATAAAATTAAGATTCAGGTAGGCTTTTAAAAGGACCTACATGTTGTTAGCTTACAAAGTGCGCCCAGGCTCCCTCCTGGCTGCTGGAAGTTTTTCTTTCTCGCAGTGGCTCTGGCTCATAATGTGGCCATCAGAATCATGGTTCCTTGTCTTGTCTTTCCATAGCCCTCAGGACTTGCTCTGCTATGATTGAGTTGACTCCTAGTGACTCTCTAGTCTGAATCCTTCTTAGTAACTGTGAAAGCTCGGAAGTGAGAAGGAAGAGTATAATAGGGTGGTTTTTATTATATAACTAAGACTTATTATGGCTTAATTATTCCAGAACAACAAAGAAACAAACAAGTGTACTTAACAACACACAACAACACAAAATAATAGGTGCAAATTATTGAATGTGTCAGTGGCTTTGTATTACCTCTATGAAAACAATACAAACCACCTAGGGTATTCTGGATACCCTAGGATCTTCCCAGGTGGCACAGTGGTAGAGTCCGCCTGCCAGTGCAGGAGATGCAAGAGTCCCTGGGTCCGGAAGCTCCCCTGGAGGGGGGCATGGCAGCCCACTCCAGGATTCTTGCTTGGGGAGTCCAAGGACAGAGGGGCCTGGTGGGCTTTAGTCTAGGGGCTCACAAAGAGGGACTGAGCACACACATCTGAACGGGTTTTCTGAGGCCTGGCAAATCACCTTCATGGAGGAAGATAAAGATACTTCTTTCGACCCAAGAAATGGAAGGAAAGGATAGGTCCAATAGAAAACCTACCTCTTAGATAAACATAAAATGTCAGAAGTTTGGAAATTAAAAGGAATGTTCCTTTCGGAAACAACTTCTTGTCTTTGAACTTGTGTTGGCACGGAGCCTCTTTCTTAGTGAGCTCAGTAATATTTCTTGGGACAAATGAATGAAAGAAGGAAAGGCTATCTTACTTCCCAGAACCCAGGAGACAGCTGCTCTGGCCTCACAGAGTGCTTCCTTTGGTTGCTGTCGTGCCATTCCCTGAGGAAGACTCACACTGGGACAGGCCATGCATCATGACATTCCTTGGACGTACTTTCTTAGTGGAGAGCCACACAGATCTGCGTATGCCCGGAGTGCTGATGTCAGAGAGAAAATGGATATAAAGGGCCCTTTCAAAATGAACATTTCCCTCATAGAGGAAGGGGGGTTCTCTCGTGTTAGAAATCAAACCAACTTCATAATTTGGTTTCACATGTTTTTTTCATAGAAGCGAAAAAAAAAGCAAGTCACTCGGTTGTGTCCGACTCTTGCAACACCATGAACTGGAGCCCACTAGGGTTCCTCTGTCCTTGGAATTCTCCAGCCAAGGATATTGGAGTGAGTTGCCATTTCCTTCTCCAAAACAAAAGCAAAATGAAGCCCAGCTTGTTGCTGAGAAGAGTTCCTCTTGGGACTTCCCTGGTGGCCCAGTGGTTGAGACTGAACTTCCAATGCAAGGGGCGGAGGTTCAATCCCTGGTCAGGGAAGTAACATCCCACATGCCCTGATATGCGGCCACAAAAGTATTAAAAAAAAAAAAAAAAGTTCCTTTTAACACCTAAACACTGTTAGGAAGTCTGGCTTAAGCTGAGAGGCCTGTTTTCACTCTCTTTTGCCAAACACTATTAAAAATTTCTCATTTAAAGCTGACACTATATGAGTTTGTTGCCAGTGTATGAGTTCAAACACATCACTAATTTTCTGTCCCCCAGGAAAGTGAATTGGTTTTAATTGGGCTCCAAGTGTTTACACCACCATGTTCAGTGGCAGGTTTACAAGAGAGATCTAAGACCTGAATGAAACGGGCAATCTTGCAGAAAATACAGTTTCATAGGTTGAGGATAGGCCTGAGAGGCTCTTTTCCTTTTTTTTTAAAATAAATGTCAGATTAACTGGCTTTGTTTTACCAATAAAATGCCTCAGTAGAATAAAATTTAACTGTGGAAATTATAGAGTTCAATATTGAATCCATCAATGATTTTTTAAAGAGAAATGCACTATTTACCTAAAGCCACTTAGGTGTATTCATTGTAGAATTGCATTGGTTGGGTTTTATTTCTCTAAATTCTTGACAATTTAAAGGGTGAATTTGATCTGCAGTGCTGAACGGCCAATCTGGACTTACTTAAGATTGGATGACAAAGTGATGTGACTTTGTTGACAGGATATCTGCCGAATGGAGTGTAGCGTCCAACAGGGTTTCTTGGAAAGGGCATTATTCTGCAATGCGGGAGGCAAGTAGACTCTGGACTGTTAGAAACAGCTGCATAAAAACTCCTACCTGTTTTGAAGCTGGCCTCCCAGTGATCAGCTGGGTGGGTGGTGGGGAAGCAGATTTTTAACAACAGGTTGTCCTTCCCTGTCATTATATTTATTTTGAGAAGAAAGATGAATAATTGTCTGTTACCTTCCCCTATCAGCCTTCTGGTTAAAGTTTCAGAGTATGCAAGCATCACCATGAACCAAATGCTTTACAAACTATCGCATTTGTGAACTTAATGAAATGGTCATAATTTATGTAAATATATCTTTTAAGTGATGTTGGAGAGTTGTGATTCATGGTTCATATTTTCAAAATGCATTCCATTTCAAATAAAGTATCTATAGAGGTGATTGACCTGTGGACTTTTTGAAGGCCTTGTTCACCTGTCACATACACTGCGTGTTTTTGTGGGAAGAAGAATGTTCTAAAGGGCTTGGCCACTGTAAAGGACATGATGATTTGGGGAAGAAAAATACCTTTTAAAAAAATACAGCTATTGATTTATTTGACTGTGCCGGATCTTAGTTGCGGTGCGCTAGATCTTTGGTTGTGCCTTGCAAAATCCTAGTTGCAGCATGTGGGATCTAGTTCCCTGCTCAGGAATCGAGCACCAGGCCCCTTGCACTGGGGATGTGGAGGCTTAGCCACTGGACCACCAGGGAAGTCCCTGAAAAAGACCGTGTTTTGAGGTTGGCTGGGCATTTTGAATATAGGATGTAGATGTTCACTCAGATTGTTTGGTGAGATAATTTTTGCCTTTTGAGTGCTAATGGATATGAGTTGCAATGTTCCTATAGTGCCTGGAGGATAAGTAATGGTCCTTAGTGAGTTAACTTGGCGGCCATTCCTTCTGGAGTCCCAGAGAAATTTGAGTCCTCCTAGGTCCCTTGCCAAG